TAGTGCAAATGACATAAGAAGCCCAATTTCTCACTTCATCCAGCAGTACCCCTTATCTGAGCATCAATCAAGTCAATGGGATAAGTGGACATTCATCTTCCACCGGGAGTCACAGAACGATAGATACTGCAACTCAGCTCTCCCTAAGGATGCAGAGCCAAGCAGATAGCAGTCAAAAGAGAAAGTGGAGAGTATCCAGCCTCTCATGAGCTAATGTGAGGATGCTCAAATTAGACTTGAAAACAACTCATTAAACTACACGACTTGAATCCCAGCACTTGGGACCCAGGGGCAGGTAGATCTCTGGGTCTCAGGTCAGCCTAGTCTACATAACATGTTCCAAGCAAGCCAAGACTACATAGTGAGACCTTGTCTCAAAAAAAGAAGAGGAAGAGGGGGAGGAGGAGACTCAAAATAGACGGACAAATAAATCCATACCAAACTACATAGTAATGCAATTTTCAAATATTAACAACAAAGAAAAATATTTAAAGCATCCAGCAAATAAACAAAATATCATTGACAACTCAAAACCAAGAGATCGTTCTTTCTCTAAAACATATGGGTTCACGAAACAAGTGACATAACCTTTTTCAAATGCTGAAACCATCGTCAGTCCAAATTTACACACCCAGCAAAAAGACACAGGTGCAGAAAAGTAAGATGAGTTACTGCCAATGGCCGTGAAGAACACATACAGGAGCTGAGGAAGGAGTGATGCAGGGCTGGAGCTCTTCTCCCAGTGTGTGTGTGAGGTCCTGGGTTCCATCCCCAGCAAGGTAAAAGGAAAAAAAAAGACCAGAAAAGAGAACATGGAACAAAGACAAGACAAAATAGGAAAGACAACAAAAATGTCAAATGTCTTGAAATATCAGGAACAAAGAAGGAACAGTATGCTAAATTTTAATAAACACCTTTTACGTTTATAAATGGTGATGGCAGTTGAGTTGTAAATAAATCATTCAGAAGACGGAAAATAACTCACGAGAATGGCAGCTGATAGAGCCACTCTGGAAAAATATTTCAACAATTTTATTAAGTTCAATATAATCTTTGTTTAAAAAAATTATCATCAACTGTGTGTGTGAACATGTGTGCAGGTGCCCATAGAGGTTAAAGGCATCTAATCTGTGGAAGTTGGAGTCACCTGTTGTACACTGCCCAAATAATGGGTGTTGAGAAACAAATTTAGATCTTATGTGCTCTTAACCTCTGAGCCATCTCTCCAGTCCCAAAGTTCAACATGGTCTTAAGTATGTGGCCCAGTATTCTACTTAAATATATCTATTCAAGAAAAAATTAAACCGGGTGGTGGTGGTATACGGCTGTAATCCCAGTACTTGAGGGACAGAGGCAGGTGGATCTCTGTGAGTTCGAGGCCAGCCTGGTCTATAAACTGAGTTCCAGGACAGCCAGGGCTGTTACACAGAGAAATCCTGTCTCAAAAAAAAAGGGGGGAAAAGAAAAAGAAAGAAAGAAACAAAAAGAAAAAGAAAAGAAAGTGAAAAATTAAAGCATGTTTCACAGAGACATATGAATGTCTATAACATAGCATTTTCACAATATACAAAAGGTGAAAGGGGTCCAAATGTCATCACCAAGTGAATAAAGAAGCAAAATGTAATATATTGCAAAAATGAAATAGTATTTATCCATTATAAGGAACAAAGTCCTAATAAATGACACAATATGATGAACCTCAATGGCACACTAAGCAAAAGAAGGTGTCAGAGACAGCATATTTTATAACACAATTTATTTGAAAAGCCCACAACACAGACTGAGAATACATAGGAATGGGAATGAGAATGGGGGTATTGAATTGAGGCAGTGGATACATTCTAAAATTAGTTTGTGGTAATGACTGCATAAATCTGTAAATCGACTAACGTCACTGAATTGTGTACTTTAACAAATAAACAAAGCTATCTTTTAAAACTGTGAAACCTTCTCAGTCCATTAAACCTGAGACTTTGTGCCTCAGGCCCCTATCTATTAGATGAGAAAATTGCCCTCATGACCTCCTCAGCACATTAGGTAAGCAAAGCCTTATACCACCTGCTTTCCTCTGCATCCACTCACCAATTTACTAGCCTGAAAGCCAGCTTATCATTTAAAAGCCATCACGCTTCATGTGTTCACTGGCAGTGGACAGACAAAACATGTTTTTCTCGGCTTTCCCAATCTCAGTCCTCCTGGCAGAACTGATTACCTTTGCAATCACACATGCTTTTTCAGCACCGTGTATGTGCAGGCAAACAGATGAGCTGATCAGACTGTGCTTGCACACTTGGCCAAGCGCAGCACTTCTCTACACTGCTTTGTCCTTTTGACTTCTAACTAAACGTCAGCGGCCTCTTTCCAATTTATTTAGTTTGTTTTTTATTTTGCTTGAGATAGTGTCCAAGGCTCACTTCATTCATACTTACTGAGGTGCCAAGGATGAACTTGAACTTCTGATCCTCCTGCCTCCACCTCCCAACTTTTGGGATTACAAATATGCACCTCCATCTCCAGTTTATGCTGTGCAGGAGATTACAAGTAGGGTTTTCCTGCATGATAGGCAAGCTCTCTACCAACTAAACTACGTCTCTGGACTCTCCGCTTTGAAACTTACAGTAGAATTTCCTCAGCCCTCTCTCCCTTCATCTTTCCATCTCCCCCAGTCATTATATCCTAGCTTGACAACAGTTCTAATGTCTTATTGCATTTATCACAAAATCCAAGTCTTTTCCTTTCTGTCAGCTATTCCTTCCTAGACTAATCTTTAGTGATGGAAATGAGAAGCTACCACTGGAGCAGTAATCAGCAAAATAGTATTATTCCCTCTAGATACTGATTTACTGGACTCTTTATAGAGAAGATGTTTGGGAAATATTTAATCTCCTCTGTGATTTTGTCTTGCTTCTTAAAAAGAACAGGTACAGAATATTGAAGTTGATCTCAGTCTGGGGTCATCCACTCTCATTGTTGATATATGTTTAATAGTACTGGGAAAAACCAATTATTGTTATGAAATACTTTAAGATTCTTTTATCCTAATCTCTGGCTAAAGTAAAGTTCTTTATACAACAAAAGGCTCCATTTGTTTTTTTATAGATAATGTTACATCTTACTTCTCAATTCCAAAACAAACAAGCTATTGAATATAATGAAAAATGCAATATTAATAACACCAATTCCTTGATATCTGAACAATATCTCTTACAAAAAAGATTTCTCTCTTCCACACATGCCTAAGTATATTTGATTACTGCCAATATGGTGCTGATGCTAGGCTTATTCTAAATTCCAGGCTCTGTCTGTTTCCCCAGTCACATCACCTAATCAGAATGAAAGCTCTAGCGCAGCGGAAGGCATAGGGAAGCTGGTATTAATGGAGCGTACCTGCACCGTGATATTCATTCTATTAGGAGCAGCTGCACTATATAGTCTTAACGGCACAAAGTCTGTGCTGCTACCAGGTATGAACCAGTTTGGAACATTACCTAAATACTTGAAATATGTGGCCTCTGTATTTTAGTGATGTAGTGAAGATGAGGTAGAACGTTTGAAACGGGGACAGGGTAGGGTGGGGGGAAAAAAGGTCACTACAGACCTGAATGAATTATTTAAATTTTCTGATATTTAATATGTCATCTTTTTAAATGATTTATTTTTATTTTATGTGCATTGATGTATATCTGTGTGAAGGTATCAAATCCCCAGAACTGGAGTCACAGGCAGGTGTGAGCTACCATGTGGGTGCTGGAAATTGAACCCGGGTCCTACTGGAAGAGCAACCACTGCTCTTTACTGCTGAGCCATCTCTCCAGTCCATCAATTCTTCATCTATAAAAGACATATAAAGGTACCTACCTCACCAGATTGTTTGAATTAACTGACCTATGGTATTGGGAAGAATATAGCTTAGAGTCTATAGAATAGGCTATGTTAATTAATATGTCTCTAAACTGGCATGCCTTCTACACACTCTCCAGCTCCACTCCTCAAAACCCCAATTTCTTTTCCTTCCTTCCTTCCTTCCTTCCTTCCTTCCTTCCTTCCTTCCTTCCTTCCTTCCTTCCTTCCTTCCTTTTTTCTTTCCCCTTTTCCTCCTTCTTCCCTCCTTCCTTCTTTCTTCCTTTCTTTCTTTTTCATAAGACAGGGTTTCTCTGTGTAACTCTAGCTGTCCTGGAACTAGGTCTATAGACCAAGCTAGCCTTACTCAAAGATTCTCCTGCCTCTGCCTTCCAAGTGCTGGGTTTGAAGGCATGTGCCACTACACCTGGCTTCAAACATGTTTATTCTTATTAATAAGAACCAACCAAAATGCACCACTGCCCCCAAGCCTTTCCAAGCAACTTTAGGCACTGTAGCTGTTTGACTAAGAGTACAGGGCTTTGGGAGTAGGAAGAGACTCCAGATTTAAAAGCTCCTCTGTCACTTACTAGCTCCATGACCTTGAACAAATTACTTGCTCTCTATGTATCTAGATTTCCCTTGTGTGATATTTGAATCAACATGGTACACCCATCAAAGAGTTGTAGGGAAGAGTAAATGAGATACGCACACAGAGCACTTAGCACAGTCTGTGACACTTAGCAAGTCCCCAAAGTACCATTCAGCAGGAGAAATTAATAGAAAGTTTCCTCTTTTGTAAAACGTTAATAAAAATGTTTGCCCTTAGGATTGAACAGTCTCTTCGTAAGGGACTGACATATGTGTACCTTGAGATATTTTGGGCAAAGTCCTAAACTCGCTTTTATAGAATTTGCTTTCCCTCGACTGCCTGCATAGAGGTAAATATATCCCGCATTAATTAACAGGCACTAAAACGAGAACGTACGTCCCCTGCGTACGAGAGACTGACGTCCGAAGCGCAGTACGAAGATCAGCACCCGCAGACCGGACCTCGAGAATTCCCTGGAGTTCACCTCTACCGGCCCCCTCCCCTTGGAGCCGCGCAAGCGTACACCGAATTTACTCCTTGGTCCCTCATGCCCCCGCCTCCAACCCCCGCTCTGTCTGCCCAATACGCAGGCGCGTCTCCTCAAGTGCTTTCCCTACCCCCTCCTCTTTCTCTTCAGTCAGTTCCCCCTCCTCTCCCAGCCGCTCCGCAGGTTCAAACTCTTCTCCCGGCGAGTGGCGGCAGTTGTGAGGTCACGTGATGAGCATCCTGCTGCCCAACATGGCGGAGTTCGACACCATCTCAGAACTGGAGGAGGAAGAAGAAGAAGCAGCAACGACGTCGTCGTCGCCGTCGTCGTCGTCGTCGTCGTCGGTATCTGGGCCCGATGAGGATGAGGAAGATGAGGAGGAGGAAGAAGAGGAGGAAGAAGAGGAGGAGGAGGAGGGGCCACCCCCGCCTCGGGTAGTGAGCGAGGAGCATCTGCGGAGATATGCCCCAGACCCTGTGTTGGTGCGCGGCGCCGGCCACATCACTGTGTAAGCTATTGGGGCCGGGGTCCTGCGGAGGCTGAGAATTGGCGGCAGACAATGAGAAGGGCATCGAAGGGCCTGCAGAGTGGGAAGGGCTGACTAAGACATACTGTTAGCAAAGGACACCTGGTTTAAATAGAGAAACCGCAGATTGAATAGGTGTAGTGCAAAAGAAATGGGGAGAGTGACATCGACCCTGAGAAAAGAGTGAGTGTAGGACGTGGAGTTACGGGGTGGAAAGCTAGAGGCACTGGAGTAGGGGTGATCCGCTTGTACGTGTTCTGGCAAGTCAATAGTCTCTAAGCTGCAGGATGTACTAGGCTTCTCTGCTGCCAAGATTGATGGCTAGTGGAAAACGGCGACTGCTGTGACATGTGACAAGATCTGGGCTTGGATTCTTCAAAACAAAACTGTGATGCATTTTGTGAATAATATAAATATTCATCCACCCACATATTTATCCATCCATTCTTCCTATCCAATGCTTATATGAATGAATATCGTCATCCTTTCTCTGTTGAACGCACTACTCTGACGTTCCTGTAATATCACATCATTAGAGGTTCAGGTTGATAAGAATCTATGCAAAGTAGAACGAGCAATGGATAGAGGGTGAGAGATCTTGGTTGCTAATCTCAGTTTCCCTTCTTACTAGCCCTATGACCTTGGTCAGTTGATTCTTACTTCCGGACTTTGGGTTCTCCAAATGTAGGGTTTGAAGTACATGGTTTCTAAGCCCTTTGGTTCTGAAATAAATTAAGATGCCTACAGGGGATTTTGTTCGCCCAAACATTAACTATATAGGGAAATTGGCCTTTGATGAATTGAGGATGATTTCTCTAAAACTCATCCAAGGTGGCTTCTTTTACATTGAAATTCTGTATCGTATTTGGGAAAATAAAGTGTGCAAGGACTTCATATCATCTTGGTTACACAGTAAAAGAAGAAAAACTGACCTCTGGGCTTTGAAGAGTGGGTCCCAGTTTTTATTAGCTTGGATTGTAAATACTTAGAATTTTGAGTATGGTGTTGTGTTCATGCTCTTAACTGTGGTGTCATTTACTGCATTTTCAAAATAGATTTGCCCCTTTTCATCACGTCTCCCTATCTTTCATTTTGATCATGGCTCACCTAGTCCCTTTGACTCAACTGAGTGCTTGCATGAAATCATTCAGTATGTATCAATTCCTCAATCGTGTTAGCTTTTAATTTTTAGCATGTTAACTCTTTTGACTATAATACACTTTTAAATTACTGAATGATGTATTACCAAATATTTTTTCAGTTGTGGTGGAAGGCTTTGGGGAGACTTTAGGCCTTATTTTTGATTAGGTAATTTTCAGACAGTTTTTCTCAGTCCAGGGTTTTTGCAGAAAGCCTGCAATGCTCAGGTGCCAACTTACTGCAGTTTTACTTCCATTCCTTTTGTCACTAGGGTGACCATTATCCCAGCTAATTATGATGCTGGCACCCAGGGTTCTTTTTATGCAGATTCTTTTACATGACCAAGCAGAGCAATGGTTTTTATACTGCGATCCATAATTTTATGTTCTACTTTCCCCCATTATTTTCTAAAATTCAAACAGTGCATGCATAGCAAGGAAGCATAATTTAAGTTCTCTAAAACTTCCTCGTGGCTCCATTCTACGCGCCACACAACCAATTTCCTTTCTTCATTTAAAACAGAGCACTGAGATTTGCTGTGTCTAGCCTCTTGTACATGTAATTCCCTGCCGACACCACACACACACAGTTTAAAAATTCTGGAATCACATGTAAAGAGATAATGCCAGTAGTATCTTGGTATTAATTGGAAAAAAGTCTGAAAAGCATAAGCCAGTACTTAAATCCTAGAGATGAATATAGTTTGGAAAATTGTTTGGTTTTGTTGTATACATTTTCTTATTTAGGAAGAACATTTGATGCTAAATATCTAACATTTAAGAAAAGGACTGTTGCTGGGCGGTGGTGGCGCACGCCTTTAATCCCAGCACTTGGGAGGCAGAGGCAGGCGGATCTCTGTGAGTTTGAGACCAGCCTGGTCTACAGAGCTAGTTCCAGGACAGGCTCCAAAACCACAGAGAAACCCTGTCTCGAAAAAAAACCAAAAAAAAAAAAAAAAAGACTGTTTAGAAGGTCTGCTAGAAGCCAGACATGGTGCTTTATGCCTGTGATTCCATCACTTGGGAGACTAAGACAAGAAGAGTGCCATGAGATCAAGGCCAATCTGGGGTCATATAATGAACTCCAGACCAACCTGGGCTACAGAGTGAGACCCTGTCTTTAATAAAAAATTTTTGGTTGGGATCTGAGACATGAACTATAATAGCAAAACCTTCCATATGTTGAGTAAGTCTGTAAGAATAATTTTAATCTAATACATCTAAAATGTCGAATTTTGTTTCCATTTTTCTGATGTAGGCATGTGTCGATTGCTCTAAACTATGTTTTATTGGGGGTGAGGGTGTGATGAACTCAAACTAGGGCACTGTGCATCGAGGCAAGTGCTGTGTCACTGAGCTACACTCTTTTTTTTTTTTTTTGGTTTTTCGAGACAGGGTTTCTCTGTGGTGAGCTACACTCTTGGCCCTATATCTATGTGAGTGAACTCTTTCTTTCCTTTGTTCTTTCTTTTTTTATTCCTTTTTTTTTTTGCTGGTTTTTTTTTTTTTTTTTAAACAGTGTTTCTCTGTGTAACAGCTCTGACTGTCCTGGAACTTGTTTTGTTGACAAAACTGGCCTTGAACTCAGAGATCCCTCTCCTCTGCCTTTGCCTTCTGGGAGTACTGAGATGAAAGGCATGTGCCGCCACCACCCAGTTGAATGAACTATTTCTTATTCTTTTGTACCCTGACTTTGTGCTTTATTCGATCTTCATCTGTGGAAGATTTTGTTTCTATTGAAAGTTGAAAACGTGGGAGTTGTCACTATCAACTGGACTTTTTTAAAAAAGGGGGAGTGTTTTGTAGCTTTTCACCATGAATAAGAGATACATATTTAAGACGATAGTTATATTTAACCTGATTCTAACTCAGTATATCTTAAACTCAACATTTTCCCTCCCCAAATGGCTTATATTTCTATTTGCCACATTTCTGGCAGTGACCCCAACATTCTACTTTCCCAGGGTAATATTTTAAATCTTTGAGCCATTTTGACTCTTCTCCTTGAATTGCCCTATGTCTGATTTTCCCAGAATTGTCATCATACATTTGGAAATTCGCTTAGATTTTTCATTTTCTCTATTCTTCTTTGGCAGCACTCTTGTTTGAGTGGCCATCATCTCCTTCTTGAGTTATAGCCATAATCTGCTGCCTCTCCTCATTTCATTGTGCATGCCCATGCCAAACTAATTTTCTTAAAATTCCATTCAATTGTGCCACTGTCCTGTTGTAAACCTGCATTGGATCTTTATTAGACCTTAGTGTTCTCAACATTAGAATTCAAGGAGTCCCTCTCATGTCTTCTTTTCTGCCATCCATACCCTTTTCTTCTAATCTCCACCCAAGCAAAGTCTTGTAGCATAAGGCAGCTCCTGGCTCCAGTAGTGCCTCACTTTGACCCCTCTAGAATCTAGAGTCCAGATTGCCCTGTAATATATTCAAACCCCAAACCTTCTGATATTCACATCCTCTTCAGCTGCTATCTAATCTCTCTTCCTTCTCCACATTCCTTAAGAGTACGTACGTGCACTATATTTACTTCCTCTTATCTGGATTCTGCCACCTTAACTGTGAAGATTCTGACCTCAGTTGAGATCACCATGGTCAGAGACTGGGAGTATAGTTTTGCAATAGAGTGCTTGCCTGGCATGTATTTTTTTTAACAGTCTTCTTCCTGTCTTGTTTCTTAAATACCTGTGATTTTATGCTTAGCCCTCTACTCTTACTGTCTACATATCTTAAATGGTCTCTTCTTGCTTCTTGTGGTCTCAGTTATCCAGTGTTTCTGTACCAGACTCTGCTTGGACACTTCCCTGGGCTACTTAACCCTCAAACATGCCTCTTATTGCTCTCTATTTTCCATCTCAGTTGAGTGTACCTCCTTTTACTCATCACAGCATGCTATTTCATATCGTCAATGTCTGTTCCACCTAGTGCTTCCATCTTTTTTTTTAAATATTTATTTATTATTTAAAATAATATTATTTAAAATAAATATTTAAAATAAATATTTTAAATATTTATTTATTATGTATACAATGTTCTGTCTGTGTATATGCCTGCAGGCCAGAAGAGGGCACCAGACCTCATTACAGATGGTTGTGAGCCACCATGTGGTTGCTGGGAATTGAACTCAGGACCTTTGGAAGAGCAGGCAATGCTCTTAACCTCTGAGCCATCTCTCCAGCCCTAGTGCTTCCATCTTAAATGCCAGCATATACCTCCCTTTACCCTAGCTTTCCAAATGTCACCATTTCCTATGTTTTTTTCGCTCTTGCTAAATTGGAAGCACACCAGCAAGAACAATCTCTCTTTCCCTATGAATCTTCAGTGCCTACCATAATACTTGTTTAAGAAAGTTCAATGAATATTGGCTTGCTTTAGTGATAGTTTATGCCCCTTGTTGTGCAGACTATATTATAGGCCCTCAATGTGAGTTTGTTCAATCATGCTATAAAGGAGACTATTCTGAGCTGTATATATAGCTGTAATAATATAATAATCCTAGTGATGAGGTACCATCACTCTCCAACTGACAGTATCACTGTTCCTCTATAAAGCTTTCTTTTTTTTTTTTTTTTTTTTTTTTTTTTTTTTTAAATATTTGTTTATTTATTGTGTATATATACAATGTTCTGTCTGGGTGTATCCCTGCAGGCCAGGAGAGGGCACCAGACCTCATTACAGATGGTTGTGAGCCACCATGTGGTTGCTGGGAATTGAACTCAGGACCTTTGGAAGAGCAGGCAATGCTCTTAACAGCTGAGCCATCTCTCCAGCCCCCTATAAAGCTTTCTTAAGCTAGCTCATGTGTGTAAAAGTACTCCAATTTACTTGTATCATCTTAATATTTTTGACCTTTTAGTTATTTTAACAAAATATGAATTTTAATATTAAATTAATTATAATATCATAAGAAACAGAGTGAGCCAGTTGTGATGGTGCACACCTTTAATCCTAACACTGAGAGGCAAAGACAAGTTTGAGTATGAGTTAGAGTCCAGCCTGGTAATGAGACCCTGTCTCAAAAAACAAAAAGTATTACTAAATTAACTCCCACAGGTTTAAGACTTTAGAAACAAAATGATGGATGTCACTTGCAAATGTGAACTATTTCAAAAATGCTGTAAATTTGAGTTATATTTTTTCTTCTTTTTTAGGATAAATATTGGGCCACAGTGTATTGAAGTACAGAAAACAAATACATCTGATGAGACTCCCCCCCATGTCTATAAACACAAGCACACTTCTGTTTCTTAAAATGTATGGGTGTTTGTACTTGCAAGAGTACCTGTATAGAAGGTAGTTGAGATGACTTCTGAATTACCAGTTTTCAAGGAATCTCACTAAAATTATTATATAGAAAATCAAAACTAACTAGTATGAGCAAGGCCCTGGGTTCAATCCCCAGCATTGAAAACAATCAGATGACTATTTACAAAGCTTTAAGCCATCACGTAGTTTGGTTTATTTCCAGAAGAAAGATCTAAGTAGAATTGAAAACAAACAAACAAACAAAACTTCTGTTTCTATTATATGGCATGGTTTTTCTTTTTCTTAGTGCAGTAGAATTCACTACACATGCTTCAGAATCAGTACACTATTATTAAGTACATACTTTTCTAGCAAAATAGTAGTTCTTGTTAGCAGAATTTGACTGCACTGATTATTTTACCTGAGCACATGAGCTTTCATTTTGGCAAGGCTTTTAAATGATTGAAAATAGTAATTTTTACAAGCATGGAAAGCGAGGGATATAGGGAGGCAGGAAGAAACAAGGAAAATGATCCATCCTTCTTTGTCTCCATTTCCTATAGTCCAAAGAATTGTTCCAAGAAATTAAAATGTAGGGGCATTGAAACACTTAAAGAAAATTCAATCATTGATAACCACCAGCTTGGTCAACTTCGAACACATAATAGACTCTATATTTAATAAAGTCAATAAAATGGCTTCTGAGTAGTTCCCAAGTGCCTCTTTGTCTAATGCTGAAGAGTACCACATCTTGGCTAATGCCTATCACTGATGAGTAATGAATAGATGCATTTGTGTAACCTCTATAGAACCATAGCTTCTTTTTGTTTGGTTGGTTTTTGTTTTTTGTTTGTTTTTCAAGCTTGGAGTGCATCACCACTACCTGGCTGAGCCACAGTTCTTAACTTCATAGTTTGCTTATGAAACAGAGGTAAGGTGTTTATACAACAGCAGCCATTTCAGTATATTTGTGGCTACCAAGTTAAACCCTCAGAATTAAGGTTATTTGAAGTAAGCACTCTTTTTATGTCCTCAGTGTTAAAGAAAGAAAATATGTAAGAAAGAAATCCCTGGTTGGTGAGAATAGGATAGCTATTCCTTGTTAGCCAAAACTATGAGAGTAGTGAGTCTGGTTTGCTTTTTGTGATGGATTCTCACTATATGGTTCAAGACTGGCCTTGAGCTCACTATCCTCCTGCCTCATCCTGGGATTGCAAGGCAGATGATGCCAGTTTCTTTATATTTTATAGTATAGATAAATAGTTGACCCTGAATACTCACAGGTTTTGCATAAATCCAACCATTTGCAATTCAAAAATACCTGAAAAAAATACCATCTATATTGAACATGTATGGAAATTCCCTTATCGTTATTCTGAATAACAATATAGTATAGCAACCATTCACATAGCAGTTGTATTAGCTATTACTGGGATGATTTAAAGAATACAAAAGCCAGGCGGTAGTGGCGCACACCTTTAATCCCAGCACTCAGGAGACAGAGGCAAGAGGAGCTCTGTGAGTTCGAGGCCAGCCTGGTCTAAAGAGCAAGTTGCAGACAAGCTCCAAAGCTACAGAGAAACCCTGTCTCAAAAAACCAAAAAAATTACAAGAGGATGTGCACGGGTTACGTGCAAATACTATTCCTTTTTAGTATAAGGAACTTGGGGCTGCAGAGATGGCTCTGCAGTTTAGAGCACTTGCTCTTACAAAGGACTGAGATTCAGCTCCCAGTACTCATGTGAACACTCATAACCATCAGTAACTCCAGTGTCAGGAGATCTGACACCCTTTGCTGACCTCCAGGGATACTGGACAAGCGCATGGTACACATACATATATGCAGGCAAAATATATACATAATAGAATTAAATAAATATAAAAATTGTTAATAGTTATTTTGATGTCCAAGGTCATCTCCAAAGACACTCAGAGATGTCTATATGTTGCTCATAAAGGAGATTTTTAAGAAGTAAAAAATATATTTCCTTTACGATTTTAATATACTTTTTATATTTTAGAAGTTTCATTTTTGCTCATTAAAAAAGAAAATGAGTAACTATTATTTTTAGTTCTCACTACTTCTTAACTAGATAGAAACTTGACTTTAGGCAAATCATTTAATTAATTGATTTTTAAAAATGTTTTTAAGTGCTAGGATTAAAGGCATGTGCCATCATGAATATCAGCTTCTCCATCCAGAAAAATGGGAATGACAATACTTTTAGAGGCCTTTAAGACTTGGAAGTAGCAGCACCTGGGAGGCAGAGGCAGGCAGATCTCTGTGAGTTTGAGGCCAGCCTGGTCTACAGAGCTAGTTCCAGAACAGACAGGGCTACAGAGAGGGACCCTGTCTCGAAGTAATGTAGTTACTTAGCACAGTTACTTAGCCTGACAAATACATAGTTACTAATATGTGTTGCCTGTTACTGCTTCCTTTCATGGCGTTCTCAACACTATTTTTCTTTTTGCTTTTCCATCACCCACTGCCATAAAATTGTTAGTATTATAATACGGGATTGTCTGGCATTCAAAAAGTAACCTAAGTTATCCCTACTCAGTTCAACAAATGGATGAATAAAGGCCTGTAAAATTCCTTTTGACTTTATTGCATATTTTAATGAACATATTGGAAGAGAAAACTTTAGAGGCGAGCATCTCTTTCTCAAGATGATTGAACAAATAAAAGGCATTTAAAAAGATCTTTTAATTGTCTGAAGAGTAACTGGTCGCAAGTTATCAAAGTATAGTTCCAAAGTCTACATTAATGATAAAAGAATACTTTTATATGTTTTTTTGACACAGGGTTTCTCTGTGTGTAACCCTGGCTGTCCTGGAACTCACTCTGTAGACCAGGCGGGCCTCGAACCCACAGATATCTGCCTGCCTCTGCCTCCCGAGGGCTGGGATTAAAGGTGTGTGCTACCACCACCCAGCAGAAAAGAATACTTTTTTAAAAAAAATTGTATACATGGACAAAAAAGTAGGAAGAATAGCATAATTCATCCTCATATATTGTCGTCATCCAGTTCTAACAATTATCTACTAAAGTAGATTTTTAACAGAGAAACATTTTAGTCAAAAGCTATAACATGGGGGGGGGCGCTGGAGAAGTGGCTCAGCTGAGAGCACTGGCTGCTCTCCCAGAGCACCTGGGTATGATTCCCAGCACCCACATGGCAACTCCAAGCCCCTGTAACTCTAGTCAGTTCCAGGGGATCCCGTACTCTTTTTCTGGCCTCCAAGAATACCACACATACAGGCCAGGCAGTGGTAGCGCACACCTTTAATCCTAGCACTCGGGAGGCAGAGGCAGGCGGATCTCTGTGAGTTCGAGGCCAGCCTGGTCTACAAGAGCTAGCTCCTGGACAGGCTCCAAAGCCACAGAGAAACCGTCTTGGGAAATAAAAAAAAAAAAAACCCACACATGTAATTAAAAATTTAAAATTATGACTCCTAGCTATTTTTAGTCTCATGGGTATAGTTAGAATTCCACTTATATTTTTTTATTACTTAAAACATTTTTTAATTGAGTTAAAACTTATTTATTGTATGGGCATTGATATGAAGGTGATGAGATCCTCTGAAATTGGAGTTACAGACTGTTGTGAGTGCTGGGAGCCAGGGTCCTCTGGAAGATCAGCTATTGCTTTTAACCACTGAGCTATCTCTCCAGCCCACTTAAAACGATTCTTAATTTAAATATATTCTGATCATATTCTTCCCCTCACTCAAGGGGAGATTTCCAGATTTTTTCAGCCTCCCTACCCACCCAAGTTCTTTCTGAAAAACAAACAAGAACCCAATAAAACAACAATTTTTAATTGCTTTCCTGAGATTTCTTTAACTACTAATTTGGACAAATAGTCAAAAAATTATTTTTCTAAGTATGTAAAGTTTTATTTGAAACATACTTTTTAATTTAATGTTGTTTTCGGGACTTACAAATTTTTTAAATCCATTACTTAGTTTTAACTAGCATATACATCATAAAGTTGTGCATATTCAGGACATGTTTTTAAATCTGAAGACCAAAGGAAACTGCATGGGTTTATAACCTATTGGGAGAAAGGGTTAAATATGCTGAAGAGAATAGATTATGTTTTGTCTTTGTTTTTAAGGTTTGGATTAAGCAACAAATTTGATACGGAATTTCCCTCAGTTCTGACAGGGAAGGTAAGTGAGTTTGCTTTGAATTTTCCGATTCTAATGCACTGTGTTATGGTTTATTCAGTGTTATGACAAATGCTTTGACTCACTGGTAATGAAGCCAAATAACAGGAGGCCTCCCTACTTGGAAGCTGTGCTCGCAGTGACTAAATGGTGTTACCATGACAACCAGCCTCTGGCCAGCTATTTTGTCTGTTGTTTCTTAATGTCAGCCATTGTTTATTTACCTGTTCAGCTTTTCCAGTGTCGCCTTTTTTGCGCAGCACAGGTAGCTGTAATTATTTTCATTTAGATCTATAATTTCTAATATGTCTCATTACCAAATTATTTTTGTAACTGAGTCACTATTATTTTTAAAGTGTTGTGTGGCACGGCATCATTTATTACAAATAAAAAGCATCACATTTTTGGTTAGATTTTTTTTTCCTTTTAGATTGAGTTTCTAAAATTAGACTCACAGCAATAAATAACTACCTTTCTATTTGCGGGTTTCTCTATATTCAGTTGCATTCTTGCTTAAAATTCAGACTTCCCAGGATTGAAACCTATCATTATGGATTAATGTACAGCATGATGATTATTAATAATATTGTACTATATACTGAAAGTTTGCCAAATGAACAGATTTCAGGTTCTCTAAAAGAAACGATAAATAAGTATGTAAGGAGATATATTAACTTGCTTGACTGTAGTAATTATTTCACTATATATAGGTATATTAAAATGTCATGTTGAGCTGCTTGGTAGCACAGATATGTAAACACAGCACTAACATTCAAGAGGGTCATGAATTCCAGGCCAGTTAGAGCTTGTGTCAAAAAAGCTACCACCACTAACAACAACAACAACAAACCCATCAGCATATTGTACACTTGAAATGTTGCCTTTTTTGCTTTGTTTTGCTTTGGTTTTTTGGTTTTTTGTTGTTGTTGTTTTTCTTGGTTTTTCGAGACAGGGTTTCTCTGTGTATCTTTGGAGACTGGCCTGGAACTCGCTCTGGAGACCAGGCTGGGCTCTAACTCACAGAGGAAGTACCTCTGCCTCTGCCTCCTGAGTGCATGCACCACAGCCTGGCTGAAATATTGCCTTTTAAAAATGTACTGTATTTGGGAAAGTTCTCTTACAGGAATGGTAACTTTCAGTTTGGGGTGATGGCTCAGTGGGCAAAAAGTCCTTGCTCTGCAAGCATGAGAACCCGAGTTCAGATCCTCAGTACCCACATAAAAGCAGGTACAATGGGGGACATTTTCCAGCCATTTAGTTTAGAAGAAATGATGAGTTCCAGGTTCAGTGGGAGATCCTGTCTCAAAATAAGGTGGAGAGTGAGAGAGCTTTAGAGACAACTCAAGTCCATCTCTGGCATCTACACTTGCACAGGCAAGTGCATGCACACACGCTCACACACACACACACAGAGAGAGAGAGAGAGAGAGAGAGAGAGAGAGAGAGAGAGAGAGAGAGAGAGAGAGAGAGAGAGAGAGAAAGGCATAGAGAGATGGAGGGATTGAGAGAGGGAGAGGGCAGGGAGGGGAAGAAAAATCTCTTTGGTATAAATGTTCGGCTTTGGTCTCTAGTATGTTCTACCTGCCACTCCTAACCATTTAGAATACTTCACCAAGTGCAGCAGCAGCAGCTTAAACTTAGGTATGTTTTATAAACACTAGTAAGAAACATTTTCTCCAAATGTGTATAATTAAACATGGAAATATCTCCTGAATAATAACATTGATATAAACATGATGTGTTTAATATTAAAATTAAGCATGTAAATCAAAACATCTCCAATAGAAAATATCTTTACATTTTCCTTAAGGCTACTGCATGTGTTGCCTGGGAAATTACATATAGCTTTAATACTAGCTTAATATGCTGGACAGTGTTGCATGCCTGTAATTCAAGCACTCGGGAGGCAGAAACAGGCAGACCTCTGTGAGTTCGAGCCCAGCCTGGTCTACATAACAAATTCCTAACCAGCCAGGGATACATAATAAAACCCTGTCTCAAAAAAATTACTAGCTAAATTTTTTCTACATGTTTAAAATTAGAGACCTAGAAAATTCTAGAAAACTGTCAGTAAATATAGTTCCCAGGCATAAGCATTATCCATTTTTTAAATTAGCCAGTTTTATGTGCTGAAGTAATCTTTAGAATATCTTTTCACACCTCTTCATTCCTTTCCAAACTTTTTGGAACTAAAAATTCCATTGACCCATAAGATACTAAGATTTTTTAAATCGGAGTTGTAAGAATGGTAAGCTGCTTTTGGGATCCATTCATACAGCCTAGATAATCTGGAGGGAACTGTTCTTGAAAACATCCATTCTTTTTTTTTTCCAATCTGTCTTTTTCTTTTTTAGAAACAGGATTTTGTTATGTATCTCAAGCTGCCTGGAATTTATTGTATAACCCAAGCTGATCTGAAGCTTGTAGCAATCCTCCTGCCTCAGCCCTCTGATGTTATGATTACAAGCATGAGTCACCATGCCTGGCTAAAATAGCTATTCTTTTCAGGTGACTATTTTTATAGTACACACCATATTGATATGTGTCTTTATGTTCAATTATATGTTATTTGTATTGTTCACACTTTTGCATGTGTACATGGCTATACATTGGGTAATGCAGAAATGTTAGTGCAATGTTTTCTTAATGTGTGTTTGACAATGAGAAAAGCACTAAAAGTAATTCTGAAAGTCTGATGTTAGTTTCTTTGTTTGTTTGTTTGCTGTGGATCAAGCCCTGGGCCTTGCTCACACTAAGCATGCGTGCTACCTACCACTGAGCTTCATCTCAAGTTCCTGGCGGTCTGATTTTTAAGGTTACATGTTTATGACATAAATACAAGTTTTATTTTCTTAATGAGATTTTTTTTCTCCAGTAGGAACTATTTTACTTGTATGGATTAGTGTGGATTATTAAACCATTTCTCTAATAAGTAGGGGAAGGACGAATAAAAATATGAAAAACTAAATTAAAAGGTCTTAATTCCCTACTTACTACTCCTTGTGTAGATTGTCTTAAAATGGGTAAGTGTAATACCTGGCAGAAAAGAGTTGCCCTTTAGAAAAATCAGCTTTTGGCATGAGAGAGATATTCCAAGTAGCTGGCTTGAGGTCAACAAAATTGCAGTGAGTTAGGAAAATCTAAAAGGCCATTTTGTAAATTCCACAACTCAGTATTAACGTTTTGCTTCTTTTGTGTTAATTCTTGTGAGTGCAGAAAAGATTGTTTTTCCCATTTCACTAAAGGTAAGTTATCCTGTCGTGATAGGACAAATCATGTAGGTATGTATGTGTATACACACAGATTCTGGTGAGAGCCTCCAGTTCTCAGCTTGAGAGGAGTGAAGGGTGTTATGGGGAGAACGCTGTGCAGTATTGGGAATGGTGAGCCATAAAAATTGCCCTTTTCTATTGTGGTCCTGTATGACAAGCGATTGCTATGCTTGTGGGCCTCACAATGAGGGAGGCGAATCAGTCCTGCTGGGCTTTGCTTGGTTGGATTGCTTCTGAGTCTCCTGCATCCTGTTATAAAATATTATGACCCTTTTCTCCACCTTCATGTTGTTGTTTTCTTTTTTCTCTCCAAGAGAGTCAAAAGGAATGACATATTTCTTTACAGCCTACTGTCCAGTTAGAAAGTCAGAGGCTCCCAGCCGACATTCAATACTAGAAATAGTTGTATACATGAGTCAAATGGTCCTAACTCGGAATCTGCAGTTAACTAAACATTTCTCTGCTTATTCAAAGCGAAGAGTTAGTCAATTCTCATTCCCTATCTCTGCTTTAGGATTTGTACTGTTACTCAAAACGGGTTCAACCCCCCAAAGCCAATCCTGGCATCTTTTTAAAGTCAAAATGCAGATTGTAGTTTGAGATTCTAGCATGTTTTTCTTTTCAATAGATTCGTTTTATGACCCAAAATTTGATTTCTCATCTTTAGCAAGTTGAACATTTGAGTTTTAATGTGTCTATAATAAGAGAGTATCCTTTTGGAGAGGGTTTGGGAGAAGGAAAATTGCCTAATTTAAGGAGTGTTGCTTACATTTTCAGAAACAAGTAATACTAGACAGCTTCCTAACAAACTGTGCACACTGTGGCGTATAACTGATTTCATTTCCATGCTTCAAATTGAAAGCCAGCTTTCTCTTCCCTCAGCCTTCTACCACTGTTCTTCCCTGAGAGAGAGAGAGAGAGAGAGAGAGAGAGAGAGAGAGAGAGAGAGAGAGAGAGAGAGAGAGAGAAGCTGTTCTCTAAGTCCTTCTAGGCAGTGAGGTAAGGGGTTGTATTTTTCAGAAGATGTACAGTTGTCAGACCAGTAGCATTTAAATGCTTAAAGAACACAAATTAAGACTCCTCTTTTGCCTGTAATCTCACCATGCAATATGGACAATAGCTCCATTTACTGAGTACCTAATATACACTAGATATTGTGTTAACTAGTTTTATAGCTGTTACCTCATTTATTCTTAGTTTTCCTTACAGAAGGAAAAAATAATTGCAGCCTATGCATAGGAGGAAGCAATGTTCCACAGTTAGAAGATAGTAAGAATAAATGCCTAGCTGAGTGAAGGACTCTGGCCCCTCGTGGGATTCTGTGTGTCCCTTAGCTCAGGTAGAAGGTGAAGGTGAAAACTCCTTTCAGATGGAAACTGTGTTTCTTTAACTGGTACCGGGTTACTCGGTGATTTCCTGTGCTGAGAAGGAAGTGAGATGTTGCTGTTTGGGACAGATAAATGTTTAGATAGTAACTAGTAACATCAAAGGACCACAGGTGGAGCAAGTGGTAGAGCATCTGCTTAGTGTGGGCTACCTCCCCCCACTCCCCAGTTTCCTCCCTGGTTCTGAGAAGAAGGGAGAAGAAAGAGGCGGATGGGAGGAATAGCTCTGAAGAAATTCTTTTTTTTTTTTTTGAATGTTTATTCAGGGGGTTATGGAGGAGGAAGGGTGAAGGGGGGGGACAGAGAGAGAGGGGGAGAGAGAGAAGAGGAGAAAGAGACAGAGAAGGGGGGGAAGAAAGAAGTGGGGAGAGAGGCAGAAGCAAAGCTGCCTCTCCGAGAGGAAGATGGAAAAGAGCGCTCTGAAGAAATTCTAAAGCTGAAGAGCATTGGAGTTTCCTTCAAAACGTGGCAGATTATCCTTATATTTCTAATCGAAGGTATAACAAATGGTGGGCTTTCTGACCAATCCCTTTGCCTTCAGAGAAGTCAGGCAACAGCTTTGCTTTCTCTACGTCTGAGACATGATTTACAGGCTTTCTTTTTCAAAGTACTCCAGCCAAGAAATTCTAAGGTGAAACTTGCATTTCCGGTGACTCAGCAGGTAAGAGCACTGGCTGCTGTTCCAGAGCTCCAGCATTCAATCTCCAGCATCCACATGGTGGCTCACAACCATCCATAATGAGATGTTTCCCTCTTCTAGCATTCAAGCATACATGCAGACAGAGCACTCACAAAATACTTAAATAAATATATTAAAAAGATAAAGCAAAGACTATCATTTTACCTTGTACATGAGGAACCAGGATTCAGAAAAATTAAATGATTTTGTCTATGATTTTCTCAGGCACAGCAAGAACTGGAAGCCAACTCTCCTGATTTGGCTTATTAATGTTTTTTATTTCCATTATAAAGTGTAATCCTGTGAATTTATTTCTATATTTGCCCTGTAGAAACATCAGTTCATTGGGATTCTTGGTGCACAGTAGCTGTGACTGTGTTGTTTTTAACAGTGTAGATGGAGAATGAAGTCCATTTTTCCCGTGTAAACAAAGTTTTAAGCCCTACAGTTTCAAAACTGGCCATTTTTAGCAAAAACAGCCATTTCATGGACTGAGTAATTGACTTATGGGTGACACAAACAGTTCTAATAGAGCTTATCTACTCAATGTTCCTTTTTTTCTTTTTTTTTTTTTTTGGATTTTTCGAGACAGGGTTTCTCCGTAGTTTTTGGTTCCTCTCCTGGAACTAGCTCTTGTAGACCAGGCTGGCCTCGAACTCACAGAGATCCGCCTGCCCCTGCCTCCCGAGTGCTGGGATTAAAGGCTACTCAATGTTTTGATTGTGATGGTGCTGAATTGAACCTTTATAGCATCTATCAATATGTATGTTTGTGTAGAGTCTAAGACAACCCTGCCAAAAAAGTTTAAAATGTGAAAAAGCGACTTGTCTAGTGCAGCTGTTTATGTGGAAGAGTTAAGCTTTTAGGTTTGTGGTGTTACACATTTTGTTTTGCAACAATTTATTTTTCTACCAACATCATAAGTTTTGCTTTCACAACAAGACGCTGAACTCTTCCCCTTGAATTTACTGTCTGCCGACAATCTGAGTAATGTAGCAGCATCTTGGGGATATAGAAACATGATTTCACCGAAAGCAGACTATTTTTAGTGTGCCTTTGACTCATGAAACTTGCAAGAGGAAATTTTGATGTAAATCTTAACTACATGGCGTCATGCTCATGCCTTTGAATTGACTCTGTCATTGTTTACAGAGAAGCACAAGCAACTACTTGCAGGAACAGAGGGAGTAATTAGAAATACTAAATTTGTGGAAAGACTCTTCAACCTTCAATACTCAGAGTGGTTATGAATCTAATATGTGCTGAATACTGACAGACTGTTTTAAGCATAATTACCAGATATTATCTCTTGTTAATGTATTTCACTGCAATCAGCAGCAAATTTAACTATTATAATTGCAGATTTGCCAGAAAGAAAATGTGTTAAGAATTTATTTCAAACTAATTCAGGGCTGGACATAGGTGTGTGCCTTTAATCTCAGCACTGGAGGTGGGGGAGGCAAAGGCAGGTGGATCTCTGTGAGTTTAAGGACAGCCTGGGTCTACGGAGTGAGTTCTAGGACAGCCAGAGCTGCTATACAAAGAAACCCTCTCTCAAAAAAAAAATCAAAGTAATTCAGGATTATTATGAATGCCTAATGTTCATTCTGTCTCCTCTGGTCAGTAGTTTGGTTTTTGTTCTTGCCTTATGCTTCTGACCATAGCTCAGCTTTCAGTCAGGGTGCCTGAAGACTGTGAGCACCATTGTCTTAACAAGAATGTTTGATGAGTTTCCCATATTATCAGTTATGTTGCTTTCAGGGGATTATGGCCATTTCAGAGCATTGTAGATATTACATGAAATTCTTCAAGCATGAAATTATATTGCTTCACTCCCTGATGTCTTCCAAGAGTATATGATACAGGGGGCTGGAGAGATGGCTCAGAGGTTAAGAGCACTGCCTGCTCTTCCAAAGGTCCTGAGTTCAATTCCCAGCAACCACATGGTGGCTCACAACCATCTGTAATGAGGTCTGGTGCCCTCTTCTGGCCTGCAGGCATACACGCAAAACAGAATATTGTATACATAATAAATAAATAAATAAATAAACATTTTAAAAAAATTAAAAAAAAGAGTATATGATACAGATTTATGGGAAGAATATATTGAGACATTAAAGTATTTCTGATAAGATATTTTCTTTAGAATTGGGGGTAGTGGGAAGCTGTCCACAAACTCATAAAGTTAGTCCCCCTGTTTTAGGTGGCTCCAGAAGAATTCAAGACCAGCATTGGCCGTGTGAACTCATGTCTGAAAAAGGCTCTCCCAGTCAATGTGAAATGGCTGCTGTGTGGATGTCTCTGCTGCTGCTGCACCCTGGGGTGCAGCCTGTGGCCTGTTATTTGTCTCAACAAGAGAGTGAGTATAACCAGCCTATTGTATAACAATAAAAAGAGCTGCCGTTTAGTGGACACTTGCTATGTGTTAGAACTGTTTCAATTTACTTTACATGGTTTATTAAATTCCCATAACAATACTGTCCTTATATTAAAGTTCAAGAAATTCCAGGAAGGGAGTAGAAGCCACTTGTTCAGCCTTTATCAATACTTGGTATGAGCTTCCACTACTTGAAATAAATGCAGTCTAATTAAATGTACTCAAGTAAATGTGTATGAATTACTTTTTTAAAAAAGAAAACCTGAAGAAATGACTTAAATAATCTGAGCTAAGGTACCAGGGGAGCATCTTTGGCTTTTTGAAGCCAAACAAAAGAACCAGCAATCCTCAAAGGTTGAAAAAGCCCTTAGCTTTGAACATGTCACAGTAAAATTCCAAAATAACCTTTCTAGTTGTGTCCTGAATTTAGGATACTGCCTTACTTTTGTCTTCTTTAAAATTATATTTAATGGGGCTGAAGAGATGGCTCAGTGGTTAAAAGCACTGACTGTTCTTCCAGAGAACCAGGGTTCAATTCCCAGCTCACAACTGTCAGTTCCAGGGGACCCAACACCCATGGCAAAACACCAATGCACATAAAATAAAAATAAATTTAAAATTTTTATTTATTTAAAGATATAATTTTTAAATTTACTTTTATTTCAGGAATGTGGGAAGACCTCTTTGAAAAATCTGATTAATGGGCAGGGAATATAGCTTAATGGTAGAGTGCTTGTCTATCGGATGTGAGGCCCTAAGTTCAGTTCCCAGACATGGAAAAGATGTGGTTACAGGCCCTGGAGAGATGGTAAGAGCAAGAATGAGGACCTGAGTTTAAATCCAGTACCCATGTCAAAAGCCAGGCGTGGGTGGAGGCAGAAGGCTCCTTGGGGCTTGCTGGCCATACCTCTGGGTTAAACAAGAGGCTCTGTCTGAAGGAAATGGAAGGAGGTAGAGCAGGCCTCCACAAGATCACACAGGCACATGCCTGTACATATGCACCATATGCCTGTACACACATACACACACAAATTCAATTATGATTAAATCCAAACACCCATTTTACCTAAAATTCTTTCCCTAGTGTCTACTGGTGTTTGTTTAAACTTGTAAATCACAATTGGTCCACTAAATCAGATATAGTATTATAAGTTGAAAATATTTCAAGAAATACTCATTTTATCTTGTGTTTTCTCTTAAGCTCTTTTATGATTGCTTCAAAAAGACAAATAATAAATAAAATGTTGTAAACTTTGACTTCTTCCCTTAACCCAGAATCTTGTGCATGGTAAGTAAGTGTTCCACCACTGAGTCAAAGCCCCAACCCTTGTTTTTATTTTGAAACATGGTTCCATTAAGTTACCCAGGCTAATTTTTTTTTGAGACGGGATCTCAGTGTGTAGTCCCGGCTAACCTGGATCTCACTGTATAGTCCAGACTAATCCTGAATTCACGGAGATCTGTCTTCATCTGCCTTTGCCTCCTGAGTGCTGGGATTAATGATTCACACTGCCACACACCTGACCAGGGCTGATCTTAAATTCCTTCTGTAGCCCAGGCAGCCCTGAGCTCCTTCCTGCTCTTTCTGCTTCAGCCTCCTTAGCATTATAGGCATGCGTCACCAAATCAAGCTCCCCTATGACTTTTGGAATGGAAAAGTTAAACAGTTTACTGATTTCCTGGTGGTTATTAAAGCCACCAGTAGATCAGAGCTTTGCTTTAAATAAATACAGTTTAATTTGTTTGTCAAAGCAAATATAGTATTTTCAACTGACTGTCTATAAGTTTAAAAAAGCTGAGAGCAAAAAAATTTTAATTGTATTTTTTAGAAGTTACAATCATTAACTTCTACCCCATTGTTTTAAAGCCTCAGTGTGAATTAATCCAAAGATTTCCTATCACATAAATATAGCCAGTCTTTTTTTTTTTTGTTTGTTTTTCAAGGCAGGGTTTCTCTGTAGCTTTGGAGCCTGTCCTGGCACTAGCTCCTGTAGACCAGGCTGGCCTAGAACTCACAGAGATCCGCCCGTCTCTGCCTCCTGAGTGCTGGGATTAAAGGCATGCGCCACCACCGCCCGGCATTATAGCCAGTCTTAATTACTAGAAACAAGGTTTTTGGTTTTAATGTTATCAAGAATGTTTTCCTCTTGATTTATTTATGCTTTTGTCCATCTCAATACCTGTGCTGGAGGGCCTAAAACAAACATTTTTTCCAACCATGTGTTTCTGCTATGAGTATTTCTAGTAGAATATTCAATAAAGGCTGAGATGATGCTGATTCCCTGATAATTCTTCTTTCTGCCATTGCTTTGGTTAACTAAATTTACACTGCGGCCAGCAGGATGGCTTTGCTAGTAAAGGTGATTGGTGCTAAGCCTGAGAACCTGAGTTTAATCTCTAGACCCACATGATAGACGAGAGAACCAACACCCACATGTTGTCTCTGACCTCCACATATGTATACTCACACACATACACACACATGCACGCACGCGCGCGCGCACACACACACACATCTTACAATTTAAAAAATGATAATTTATGGGGCTTAAGACATGGTTCAGAGTTTAGAAGAGTTTACTATTCTTCCAGATGATCCAAGTTCAAGTTTCAGACCCACATCAAGTGACTTGTAATCACCTATAATTCCAGCTCCAAGGGAAGCTTTTTTCTGGCCTGCATGGGCACCCTCACAAATGTGGCACACATACACACACATTTTTATTTTTATTTATTTATTTATTTATTTTTGGTTTTTCGAGACAGAGTTTTTCTGTGGTTTTGGAGCCTGTCCTGGAACTAGCTCTTGTAGACCAGGCTGGTCTCTAACTCACAGAGATCTGCCTGCCTCTGCCTCCTGAGTGCTGGGATTAAAGGCATGCGCCACCACCGCCCGGCACACACACATTTTTAAAAATACAAAATAAGTCTTTAGAAATGACAGTTTAGACTGGAGATAAAAGTAAACCGCTTCCTCTGCATGCACAAAGCCCGAAGTTCAATCCCCGGCATCACATAACCAGGCATAGTAGCACATGTCTTTTTTTTTCGTTTATTTATTTATTAAAGATTTCTGTCTCTTCCCCGCCACCTCCTCCCATTTCCCTCCCCCTCCCCCAATCAAGTTCCCCTCCCTCGTCAGCCCGTTGAGCTCTCAGGGTTCCCTGCCCAGTGGGAAGTCCAAGGACCACCCACCTCCATCCAGGTCTAGTAAGGTGAGCATCCAAACTGCCTAGGCTCCCACAAAGCCAGTACGTGCAGTAGGATCAGAAACCCAGTGCCATTGTTCTTGAGTTCTCAGCAGTCCTCATTGTCTGCTATGTTCAGAGAGTCCAGTTTTATCCCAGGTTTTTTCAGACCCAGGCCAGCTGGCCTTGGTGAGTTCCCGATAAAACATCCCCATTGTCTCAGTGTGTGGGTGCACCCCTTGCAGTCCTGAGTTCCATGCTCATACTCTCTCTCCTTCTGCTCCTGATTTGGACCTTGAGATTTCTGTCCGGAGTAGCACATGTCTTATCCAGCACTTGAGGTGAAAACAGTAGGAGCAAGGTTCAAGGCTATTCTTGGCTGTGTAGTGCGTTTGAGCCTACCTGGGCTATATGAGACCCTGTCTAAAGATTGGTTAGTGTAGATTTGTCAACCATTACCCTAAGAGCCAAACCACTCCTCTATATTCTTGAACATTTAGAAAAATTATCAGCATTTAAAAATTGGAATACTAGGCTGGGCGGTGGTGGCTCACACCTCAGGAGACAGAGGCAGGTAGATCTCTGAGTTTGAGGCCAGTCTGCTTTGCAGAGTGAGTTCCAGGACAGCCAGAGCTGTTACACAAAGAAACCCTATCTCAAAAAAGAAAATTAGAATACTGAAATCAGAGATAGGGATCAGTGAGACAGCTCTTGCTTAGAGTTTGTGAAGTCCTGGATTCTACGCCTGGCACCTCATTCATTTATTTTTAAAAGAAAATTTGTGCTATCCGGTCAGCTTCTCCTAAAAGCTGGAGATCTGAGAAGATTGGACATTAGTGAGAGTTAACTGTAGCCACAATAGATAGGTCCAATGAGTTTCGACTTACCCCCTCTTCCACGTAGGGATGCTGTGGGTCCAGTCAATTTCAACTTACCCTCCTTACATGTAGGTATGTGGGTCCAGTCAGTTTCGACTTACCCCCTCTTACACGAAGGGATGCTGTGGGTCCAGTCAATTTCAACTTACCCCTCCTTACATGTAGGTATGTGGGTCCAGTCAGTTTCGACTTACCCCCTCTTACACAAACCATGGAAGCAGCTATGGTTTTGTATTCAGCTTTGAGATTTGGTCATATCACCACCCTTACATGTGAAATTACTTTAAACCTTTCCCCTTTTTTACTCTGAGCCTTGACAAATTGAGAGGGCTATTTCAAAGGGAGGGCCTATTCTCATAAAACAAATATGATGGTGTTTTATGAGGTAGAACTTGTAATTACCATCATACTTGATTCCTTGTTTGTAGGGTTTCTTAAGTATTTAAAAAAAGAGATGATAAAATAAAAGCCCTACCCATACATCATGTCATAGAAAAGGAATCAGGCTTTGTTGCGAAAGACAAATAGTTCTATCTGCAAGTTGTATTTAAGCATTTTACTTGTGTCTTTCACAGAGTACATGTGTGCTCTTATGCAAAGAAGACATGAAGCTATTCTGTACAGTGCTATAACTTAGATGTGCCCTGCCTTTGAACCTTTAGGGGGTGTTTTTTGTTTGTTTGTTGGGAGCCTGTTGCCAATCCCAGGCTGGCCTTGAACTGACTATGTAGGTGAGGATGGCCTTGAATTTCTGATCCTGTGTCCGCCTCCTGAATGCTAAGATTATAGGCTACTATAATATACTACTATATAAACTAGGTCTAGTTTATATAGTGCTGGGAGTGGAACCAAGGGGTTTAAGTCCACGCCGGACAAGCATTATACCTACTAAGTTATATCCATAGCTCAAGCCACT